TAATTGTTTTTTTTCTTGTTAATTTCGCAACTTACATAAATAGCTATTTTTTTTTGTAATCTATCTATTTTAGACATTTCCGAGAATATGTAGAATGTCATTGTTTATAAAAAATAAGTTAATAAATTACAATTTTACACAGTTTTTTTGGAAATTAATCGGTGTACGAATACTTTCTACATCTACGGTATTTCACGAATCTCTTCATTCTATAATTGCTGTCTAACAGCAATTTTATAATTTCTTTAACACTTTAGTGCCAGGCATACTCATGGGAATTATTTTTATACAATAGGAAACTGTATAATCTATCGTTTGAGTTAGTGTTTAGTTTCACAACCTGATCAACAAGTCACGAATCCTATCCAGACTGTTTTTCTGTAGCACATGATCTTCAGAATTAATTTTTAAAAATCCTTAGACAAAATCTCTGTCACCCATACATGGGTGACGGTGGCGATGAACGTCTATGAAAGTCATCCCTAAAAATCAACGATCCCATCGAATGACAATATTCGATGTCCACGTTCAGTCGTCTAGTTTTGGCACGCGATAAACACCATTCCGGGTGAGTAATTACCTCGAAAAAATCTCCCGTTTTTGCAATTTTCTTTATCCCAGGACCCCGATGATACTCCCCTCCCAGCCCTCGCACGGCCGTCATCCCCTTTTCACTCTTCTGTCCCTTATCAGGCCTCCTTATCTCTCTTTCATTCTCTCGTCCGTCGTCTTCACACTTATCACGGTTTTCTTCCCTTTTCCCTTTCACACTCCTTAGCCACGCCATTTACATCACCATTCACGGACCGCGTGCCCCTCTTTCTTATCGGACTCCCCCTTTCTGTCTCCTTTAATAACCACTCGTTCGCTATCTTTCTCGGACAACACGGCCGAGCCGCGATTTCTTTTCTTCGACCCCTGACGGACCGGTTGGATGATTCACCGAGAAAAGCAACCCTTCGTCGATCCAAAGCCATCCCGCTGCTACGGCGAAGGTAACAGGCGACTTCTAGGCCGATAAAAAAAATATTTGCCCGACCTACGTTCCGCGTGGAAAACATCCTTGGGGGTTTTTAAATAAGCCATAGCCCGAGCGCCGTAAATACAGCATTCAGAGGAAAATTCGAAAGGACACTTTCCTCGAAATCGGTCACCGAGTCCGCTCTGCACATTTTCAGGTCATTCCGAAGCATCGAGCACGGAATGCTGTCGATATCTCTTATTAGCCTGTCCAAGTTGGACACGGTACAATACCGTTGGTACGCGAGAAAGATGAATCGGGGCGTCGCCTGTGGCTTAAGCCACAACGAGCATGTTAACCCTTTGGATTATGAGGTCACCTATGGCGTGACAAAACTACTTTTCCTGAAACTCTTAAGTCACCTTTAACGTGACATCGTGCACTCAATAAAACAAATTAGTAGTCTACGATTTTATTAAAGAAAATGTGTCGAGAGTATATGTATGTACATAATATCTTTTATTATACACTTCTCATTATAATAGTATTAGTATTTCGTATTAAATATCGAACTTATTTTCGTGCTTGAACAGAATCCAACAATCCACCAATATCAATTTCGATACATTAATAAATAAACCCATGTACCCCTAGTGTTATAAATGTATTAGGTTGTTTTAAAAGTCCATGCCACTTATACTTTTGCTACTCAAATTAATATGTGAAACATACTCTTAAGTGTAATAAAAAAAAGGTAATCTCTCTCACTTTACAATATTGTCTCACCTTTCGGACACAGTCTTTAGCACGAATTTATGGGATGACCTAATATGAATATAAAGGCTCAGAATTAATTTCTGCGCCTAACAATCATTTCTTTCGCTTAAATATCTTAGATTTCATACAGTATAGCTTTATAGTGAAAAAGTGATGCGAGTAACTCCTTTGTGACGTCGTGATAATCTACCAGAAATGGTTTCTTTTTATATTCCTCAGCGTTTGATTGGAATTTCCGGCCGGAATCGCTCCCGTTTCGTCGCATTCTCTGAATCATGGCATTGACAACACTGTTCGAAATATTTCCGGGTACGTGCGTCGTTGTGAATATTATCCCATCGCGTATCGTATTTATTTGCCCCCGGAAACAGAGAGGGCAGAAACGAGGACACACGTCGCGGCAAAAGAAAAGTTGTCACGCATCTTGGAACAAAGCCGCAATTCCGCGCGTGTTGGAAAGCGCGGCAACTTGCTCGGACAGAAAAATTCCCCTCGTTGCCGTTGTACAGATGCACCACGGGCGCATCGGTCGATGCACCAGAAGCGGAACCGTGCCGATAAAAGCGGTGGCGGGCCACCCCCTCCGGGCGTTCGCGGAATAATTGGATCGGTTTTTGCAGCTGTGAATCACGAGCCACGACAATCGGAGGAACAAGACTTTTTCTTCTCCCTCGCGGCTTTTCCGGGCCAGATATTGTGGCCCGCTTCGTTCCACTCCCTTATCTTCGAGGAGTGCCACTTTTTTTCTTTCCCCTCCGTCGAGGACACCCCCGCGCGATCTACCCCTTCATTGGTTTCACGTTTCCAACCCCCGGCTGCTACCTCGCCACGAGGTTTCGCTTCGATCTCGAATTTCGAACGAAAATTGACGTGGATGGGACAACCATGGCGGAGAAATTGAGTCGAGTGCGCAACAGCTGCGTAAAGTAGCGTATGTCAACAGGAAATGATGTATAATAATGGGTAGATCGCGGATTTTAATGCACAAGGAACGATAAAATCCACAGATTATTCAATAATGTAAAAAATATTGAAAGAAATGGTCATATTACAATTTTTGTCGCGAGCAAAACTTGTTAAAAATTGTAATTTAAGTAAAAGTAAAAATTGAAGAAGTTAAACAAAATAAAGAATTTATGAAGTGTAAGCCTTAAAAATAATAAAATTCACAAAAATTATCTAGTCGAAATATAAAATTTACGAATAATAACACTACAAAACAAAATTTCAAAGAATAGACAAACGAAATATAATTCAGAGAGATCTAGCATTCCGTGCGACATTTCACGCATTAATCTTCGACGATTCAGGTTAATTCTCAGCTCGGAAGTAAGTTCGTCTTAAGTGTGGTCGAAATTTCAAATTTATTTTCAGTTTTCAGGTAATCGAAAAAGCTCCCTTTCTTCCAAGACTAACGCTGTCATCGAGAATGATAGATTCGCGAAGTCGTAAAGATTCTCGGTCTTGGTTCCGACGGAGATAATTCTCTTTGTCGTGAAGTCTGCCCTTAATGTCGCTCCGATTCCGAGTTAATGTCCATCGCGTTTAAAAGTAACGAGGCTAAATAGTCGAGCAAATTGAAATCGAAGCGTGCCGACAGAGATAAGCAACATAAACGAGCACTTCGTTCTTTTATTTCTGCCATTGTTTCTGACGAACTCTCTCGGTTAATTATTACGTAAAAGATACAGGAATTTTTTCCAAATATCTGGGAAGCATTAATAAAATTTTACTATTGCGTTTAAACGAATATCATTAACTCAATAAACGGCTAAATTATGTTTTACAGAAAAATGAAAAATTTAATATTAAAATATTTAAATAAATGGAATAACTAAAGAATTAAACGGAAATTTGGTTTTTTAATGAGGAACATGAGTCTTTGCCTGCACTCAATTTACGCAATGATACTATGAAGTTTAATTAAACACGCGTCTTCTGGGAACGAAATCTAGACGAAACAAAATCAAGATTTAGATCATGTCATTTGGCAATGTTCAAAATATGAAAATGAACGTGCTACTCTTATAACGGCGCTTCACCGTCGCAAATACTACCTCCTGACTTGTATGAGGTGTTTTCTATGCGATTCAGATATTAAAGGTCTGTTGATTATATTCGAGTTTATTAAGCGATGTGCAATAAGGATTTAATTTAATTTAAATTTAAATTAAATGATTATTATTATTATAATTTCATTTCATTTCATTAAGATAATGTAAGCACACAGACGCTATACAAACTAGTCTTAAGTTAATCTATGTAAAAAAGGCGTAGTAAGATGTTAAGCAATATGTTAATATGTTTATGTAACGTATATACTATATAACCATATTCGGTTTAAAAGCAATAAATAATATATATATATATATATATATATATATATATATTATTATATATATATTATAAATCTTATCGTCATTTTGCAAATAGATTAGATTATTATTGTAAGAGTCCATACGAAAAATAACGCACGGAGATTCGAACCGTACGAGGCGTTGATATTACATTATTATCATGACGAATGTTGAGAATATATATTTATTTATATATATATACATCTAGACGAAACCATGTATTCCATGCAACACTTTTTCTTGCTCTTTGCCGTAACTTCACTCTGCGACACGTTTGGGAAACAAGAACCGCCTTGTGCCGAGATTTCGCAATGAAAAGGCTCGGCCTTTCAGGGAATGGTCGCGTTCCGTGTGTACGGCACCATCACGTGGAAAACTGAGCCGTGGAAAAATGCAGCGTTACATTGGATCAGCGGAAGGTTAAAAGGCAATCCGACGGAATTGTTCGCTCGTTGCGGGAAACGGGGCGCAAACACGCGTGAGAATGGCTTCGTATTCGCGACGCCGAACGATTCATTGACCGTCACGATTATCGTTGTCGCGCTTCGCTTTTTTGTCGTCAAGTGTTTTCCCGCGAAACTGTAAGAACATCTAAGCTCGCAGAGTGTTCGCTTATCCGAAACAATTAACAATATTCCACGTAATTTTATTCTGCGATGGACAATGTCAAATGAAATAAATTGAAAAAATTGCAAAATGTACTTTAAAACATACCTAAAATATTCCCAAAGTTAAACAAAAACATGTAAAAGATGTAAGCTTTTCTCTGTAAAAAAAAAAATTACGAAAAACGCTTAATATTTGGCCGCCTAATGTAATACTCCCTCGCCCTCTTGGGGTGTCAATCGTCCACGTCAGGGAATATTGAATTAAGGTGTTAACAGTTGATTCGTCACCTGTTTCAGACACGGAAGCCCTGAGGATGCTGGAGCTGGTGGTCCCCCAATACGTGGTCCGCAACCAGAATATTAGACTGGAGTGTAACTTCAATTTGGATGGCGAGACACTCTACTCCGTGAAATGGTACAAAGATGGGAACGAGTTCTACCGATACGTGCCACAGGACAGACCGCCGGTGCTCGTCTTTGAGCTGCCAGGTGTTAAGGCGAATGTAAGAATTACTTTCTATTGATTTTTTCTTGTCTCGTGCCAATGCACCACTCTCCATGCTTCCATCGCCGTCACGGCTTCTATTTAAAACACGTTTTTTCTTTTTTCATTTTTACCCGCGTTCCGTTACCTATGTCGTCTAGAACTTCGTCATTTCCATTATTACGGAGCGTTGCTTCGCTCGCGAAATAAAAGAGTGGAATCTTTAAGAGTTAGGACTCGTCGAAAACAACATAGTACCAAAGAACCTTCCTGTCCTGCCAGATGATATTCCTCCGAAGTAGAACGCGAGGATAACTACAGTGAGTCAAGGAAGTGTCCGCAGACCTAGATTCTTTAACGATATTGAAAAAAAAAAGATAAAATTTTAAAGATACTTTGAAGTATTACTTCTTTTTACAAACAGTTACACTTACAAAACTGGGTTTGCAAATACTTTCTTAACTCGGTGTAGTATCTATCGAATTCTTGCCACCTATTTCTCCCTTCTAAAATAATCTTATTCCGCGAATTCTCGCGACAAAGCATCGGTAACCGTTGCTCGGTCGTGGAACATGACTACGAGAGTCCAACGATTCGGGGAACGGCAGTAGGCCGGGTTAATTGCTCGGGGTTAATTGGCCAGAACGCTTCAGGGAGTCTCGATCTTTTTCCAGATTCACAATTCGACCGAGAGCTCGGTCGTCCTCCATTCCGTGAACTTAATGAGCTCCGGAAGATACAGATGCGAGGTGTCAGCCGAGGCGCCGTCGTTCCAAACGGTATCCGATCACTCGGATATGGTGGTAGTGGGTAAGAAAAGTCTACAAATCGTCGCAGTCGATCTTCCGCCCTATTAGACAGCAAACGTTTCCCGAACTCAAACCGCGATGGTGGTTGGTTTTTCGTACAACTTCGCGCGATTATTCGTTGTCCGTAACGACTGGTAAAGTCGGTACACAGTGCTGTCCAAAAAAAAGTCTAAGACCACCGGGTGAAGGTTGCATTATACTTAAATAAATCCGTGTTTGTGAAATAAATGTAACGTATATTTGTTATTACATTTTATACATACTAGTATACTAAATGCATCAGAGCCGGCGTGACCTTTTGCCGGCCTGAATTCACAATCAAATCCTACACTTAAATTTTACAACGAGGAATTATTTATTTACAACGCTGTTACATATTATATATTTTTTATAAAATAATTTAAATAATAATACTTTGATGATTTTTGTCACTCCTTTAAACTGAATCATCGCTAATAAAAAAATGTCTTGCATCTGTTAATGGTTTCATCATTCCGTAAAAATTTAATCAACATTTTCGTAGATCGCGGGGTCCCCCAAAATACGGGACCGGGTTCGCGCTGAACCTGCCTTGCGCCGGCCCTGACATGCACATACTAGGTGTAGAAATTAATATTATTATATTAATTAATAGACTATATTCCACGTGCATTATACATAGTTAGCGTATGTCTTCCATATTAATTTCCCATAGAGCATAAAATCGTCAGCCAACAGCCAGCACAAATAAATAACAAAACAAAAGATAACTTCCAGAGATCTAAAAGTCGAACATTTCATGTGAAACAATCTAATGATTCAGCTTATAACGATTCTCCCAGGCCACGTATAAGTGGTTTGCTCGTGAGGCAAGTTGTTTAGACATCGATTAAGAAAAAGGAATCTTGAAAACTTTCAGCTCTGCCGGAAGACGGGCCCATTATCAACGGGAGGCCAGGAAGGCTCCGTTATCAAGTCGGTGACGTGGTGCGGTTCAATTGCACTTCGGCCAAGTCGAAACCACCTGCCATACTCACCTGGTACATCAACGGAGATCCTGTAGTAAGTGACTTACGTGGAATCCCTGGCGCTTGTGGCAACGCTCATGCATGTCACAGCCATAAAATTTCGCGGGAAAACCGAACCACGAATCCCTTAGACTAACGTACCATTAAACTCCTTCTGATCGGGCTTCCACTGGTATCTGCTCGCCTGTTGTATCGGCTTGCAAGATAAATGTACCCACAATGTTTGCGGCATCAGAGAACAACGTTCATCGATCGGGACGAGCGAGGCGTGCTGCTTAGAATAGTTTCATACTTTTGTTCTAAACGGGCGAAATCTAAAAAGCGTTACTGTTTTATGTATGTGGTACTTTTTTAAATGTGACCCTGCAGTGAGCAACAGTTTTAATTTTCCGTTGTACTTCTACTTATTCGAAGGAAACTGGTGCTAGAAATGTAGGAGAAATAGAACAAAAATGCATTTGTAACTCTCATCGAGCACTTAAATTAAACGTCTAGACTAGAACAATTTCAAATGACATTATTTGATATAATATTTAATGGAAGTGTCCTCTCAATTTATCGTTGATTTATTTTTGAAGTGCAATTACATTATAGTCATGAAATAACTCCATAGTTAATACAAGACTTCATTAATATTCTATTTGCAAATGATGACTCAATTGAGAACAATGCTAATATTTAAATATTTATTCGTATTTGCGAAGAAATCGATGTTTCTCTCTTATTTTCAAATAGTTCTTCAGTGATAGAAATATCAACCCGAAAAAGTGTAAAATGATACACTTTGAAATAGCTGTTAGATTTCGTATCTGAACGGTCCTGACATCTTGTTCCTTAGTTTAGATTCGACAATCGTAGCAGAAAGTTATTTTCAAAGTGTTTATTGTTTCGAAGGTTCTAAAGACTCGTACAAATGGATTTCTGTCTTGAACTCAATTAAAGTGAAGATAAAATTAATTTTACAGTGAAGGAAGTAACTCGTATAAAGAAATATAGAATTCAGTATAAAAGCGTGTAGTTTTGAAGGATGTAAAGATACATAAATTACTCAAATATAATACTTTTATACATTGATCTGCGTAAAAATCGTTTTATGTCAGGCGTAAGAAGTTCTTCAAATATTCGAGAAGTCGTCTAAAGTCGCTACATCGTCGAGTTCAAAGGGTTCATATACAACATTGTGCACGGCAGGGTTGACATCAGTTTATTTCGTAGCTATTATACGCAACAGCAAGCTTCGATCGCGTTTGGAGACAAAGGTTCGCCAAGCAGTCCAACTGCCATGTCGAGAAACAATGAAAAATGATTGGTAATCAATAGACTGCTGATATTTATGGAAATTTATATTGGGTTGTCTGGAAAGTCCATTTTGATTTTTGGTAGGTGGTACAGGTCTGAATATATCGGAATGGTTGAACACAAATAACATGTATACATCCCTTAACTTCATTTGCCATAAATGCATAAACATCCGCAGTCCGGTAATCGATACGCAGACCCTTTCAGAAATATTAGTCAGCCGGGAGTGCTCTGCCTATACTCTGTTAATTTTGATCTTTAAAGCAGAACATGGAAACAAAATAGACAGCGGTGTAGACATCGCTTTGGTTGGATAATATTTTTAAATCATACCGTGGTCCCGCCATCAATAAGTTAGCATCTTTCCTGTGCATGTTCTCCGCTACTTCATGGTCGTTCGAAGCGCTGACCTCCCTCGGGAGCAGTCAGCAAGGGTCCAAGTATCGTAACTTATTCGCAACGCCACGGCTGACCTCGGCTTGTCCGGTTCGAATTGCAAATTCTCCTTCTTTCTGGCCCCGCTCTCCCGGACCCCGTGGAAAAGAAAGTATCCGCGTCTAGACACAAGCCATGTAGCATGCACGTAGAGACCAGGAATTTTTGGTTGCGTCAGGTCGACGACACACAATACTTGAGAGGACCTCACATCACCGAGGTGGATCGCGAGGGTCTGCAGACGGCCGTGCTCGGCCTGGAGTTCCGTCTGCGTACGAAGCACTTCAAAAGGGGAGACTTGAAGATCAAATGCCTGGCGAAGATAGAGACCGTATATTGGAAATCGAACGAGCTCAGCATAGAGGGTGAAAGGCCTCTGAAGATGCCGGTAATGGAGAGCAGGGAGACAAGGGCGCAAGGCCACACGCACGCGGAGCATATCTTAGGAGGTAAAGGCGACCGAACCGAGAAAGGGTATCGCGGGTGCGCGTGACGTAATTCGCGGCACAACCGAAAGAGGGTGAACCCTCCCGGCGAAACGCGTCCAAAATGCAGAGTTACGTTTTGTCGTGGAAGGATTCATTCTCCATAGAGATGGATGATAATATTTTTAATCGGGGACCAAAAACGACAGTTACTCAACAAATTTGTAGGGTAACGGGGATTCGTTTTTGGTCAATTTATATTCACACATTCCACGTGTGTCTAGCCGTTACAAATATAGCTATGAATTCAGTCCTCGGCAAACATTTCAACACGAATGACACACCAAGTTTTATTTCGAGATTCAGATATAGAAACTATTTTCTTCGCGCAAATTTTCACGTATTTTTATTGTCTGTGACAACATTAATAAAAGCTCGTTTAGTAAAGTTAAGAGGGTAGAAGGCTGCTGTAGAAGTCATACAAAAATTAGAATACTCCAGAATAAAACATTTGTTGGCCATGCAATGTAAGTCAACACAAAAGATGACGACTGGAATGTGCCAACTTAGCACAACAAAATGGTACCAATTCTTTTGTACATTTTGCGTTTTATATGCATAAAATGTTTCGAAAAAATTTATATTACAACTTCAACTCGATAGTCACATTGACATACATGGGGTACACAGTTCTCTGCATTCCCCTTTTATAAGTTCGATATTTTCATAATTCCCAAGAATCGAGAAGCGAGCTTTTGACATTTGGAAGTCAATCACTATATTCACCGGTATTCTTCTCTCGTCTTCCCTCGGGTCCCTCTCCCTATTCAAGGCGATCCCCTTAGCGTCTGAACAACCCTGTATCACTGAAACATTAATCGCGATGATCGATGCCAAGAAAAAAAATCCGGTCGTCTGGATAAAATCGGCGAGATATCATTGGAAAAACTTTGACGACGCGTTCGAGGCATACAACACGTCGACACGTATCGTCGTTGTTCGTTTGCCGACAATTTGCTGACTTACATTGCATGGCCAACAAATGTCAGGCAAACCGTGCAGCTGCGGATGCAATTCCCTCGCCAATATCGATCGAATCAAGAAGCGTTGTTGATACGTTCCCATTTCTCGCTCGAATTTCCCCTGTCTAGTTTTCCATTTTCTTTTTTCAATTCTATTTCTTCCCATTCGTGAAAATCACTCGATATCGCCCGTTCACCTAACCCAGATTGCCGATAACGTTTCACTGACAAGCTTTACGTCTTTTTCAGGTAGTGGAAGCAGCACATTGGCACCTTGCATCTTACCGATGATGACGAGTTTATTGATTCTACGATAAGAAGACGGGACGGACCGATGGTGTCGCGTCCTTCGTGCTCATCCTTTTCAGGCCTCTAAACCGAGAATCGTGCGGATATCACTGTGTACTAAATTAACCGTGTTGTTTCTATTTTTTTATAATCGCAGTTAGTGGAGTTAGCGTGGACATAGACCAGAGAATATACTTATCAGAGTACATATGTTAGAGTGTTAGAAGTGGAAGAATGTGTAAATTCTTATTTAGTGGGTCGGTCCATAAGTCTCTGCGCATCTTTTACGTTTTGCGAGATCCGTGCGCCATCCTTTTTCTTGGATTTCCGAGGTTCAACACATTCACGATGGTGGCTCGTATCGCGGACTTTCATATTTGGCGGCATAAGTCAGTTACGCCCAGTACTGGACTTTTGTACCTGGTAGTCCAGGGAAAATGGAGACGTACACTTACCAGTTACACTCTGTAAATTTCAATAAAAGTGGTCAACAAATCACGGAGATATCCTCTTAAAATGTAACGAAGCTCAATGAAGTATGGCTAACGTGGAACAAAAATTATAAGGGACGTAAATGCTTTGTATCGGAGTAAATGCGTTGAGGAGATTGACTAGTTAAAACAAAATAATAAGAATTTCTTCAAATTTTAAAATTGAAGCTAAATACTTTTAATCTGAACGGATATATGAATATTGGCATTAATAATGGCACTGCGCCTGCCCCACAAGATAAATAGTCAATATCCTTAAATAATTTCAAAGTTCTCAGAGAAGATTATTAGAACAAGTATGCGTAAAGATTTATGGTACGACTCAGCAGGAAATGATTGATCATGGTTGTTTAAAAGTTTTTTATTCAGTCGTTGATACGGTTCGGTGGACAGAGTTTAAAAAAACAGCCGAAATTTATAAATCTATGATCGACGGAGTATCTTCAGGTATTCGAGAGTGCGCAACCTTCGCTCTACATACGTTTTTTCCCTCTCCTTCGTCTTACATAATTAAGGGAGTCACGAATGTGTGCGAACGAGTAATAATCACTTCAACGCGTGTTTGACAAAGAATGCGGCAAAGTGTGAATGCCTAGCATATTTATATCTTACTGTACATGAGTGTTTCTATCGTCCAATCGCGAAAGAACAATGAAGATTCGGCCCGGTGAGAAAAAACGTTCTCTTTCGTCATAGCTTTTATCAATCTAGTCGCTATTATTCAGCCGCAAAGATATGTTATCCTAGAGTTATTACAAGCTCTGTGTGTGATCGTGTGTGATCGTGTGTGCGCGCGTGAGGGTGTGTGGGTGAGTGTAGCGTGTGTTTACCAAAGAAAATTTCGCGCTATAACATTCCTAATTGTTAATTACAGGTGAACCATAGAGTGTGTAGAGGCATCGTCATGTACTGCCACTTTTTGTGTATGGTGTAACTATAAGAGCACGCTGTACATATGTACATAAATCGAACCGACTTTTATCTTTAACTTAACGTTCTGATAATAAAGCGACCTTTACGTCGACGAACGACAAACGAGTGTACTCATCGCCAAGTGTGTGTCATTTGTGATTTCAGTTTCGTCTAAGAACCGCTTCCGATCACCATTACAAAACTATCCATGCGTAAAATATAAGTTATAAACTAGGAAGGTCATAAAGTAGAAGTACTGAAGAGACATCTCTCGGTAAAGAACGCGTGCCGCTTTTTCTGAGGCTGGCAAGACCTGGCAGGCGATCTGGCGAAGAAGTTGGAGATCTTTTGCTCTCCGGTTTCTCCTTCTTCTTCCACTTCTTCCCACTCTACTGACAGGGCCTGCGAATTCAGGATCTTCTCGGCGGTAGACCAGCTGAATCTGACAATACGCGGGAACCCGAATACAGGGTCCACGTTCTCCGACAACCACTTCTTCGTCTCTGGATCGTTTGGATATCCACTTGCGTATCCCCCTTTGATCGAGCCTTCGAGGAATTGCCAAGATGATATTGCGTGATCACGGGAGACTTTGGCGCAGATACTGGCCGCACTGACAATAGGATACGTGGAATCAGCCTTCTTTGCAACGACTATCTTCAGACCCGGAAAAATCTGCTCTAGCCTGGCTTGATACTTTTCTGGCGGGCCTACCGTGTCCACATAGATCTCCTTGATCCACGCGCCAGCCTCGATCACTTGTTTAGCTAAGTCGATCGCGGAGACCATAGACACCTCATTCAAGGATGTTTTGCAGCGACGATACATGCTATTCGCGATAATGTTAGGCGATATCACTTCCACGGCCCAACCCATTGTATCATTGTGTTTGCAAATTTTGTCAAAAATCGCGTCTCTTTTCTCCTCGGTCAAGGTCTTGGAATCTGCGCAGCCCAGGTCTACGAGAAGTTGCTTCTGCGACAACGGAGCGTAAGAAACTCCATAAACCATGGGTCCCAAAACTGGCCCACGCCCAGCCTCATCGATGCCGAGCTGGCACGGCTCATCTTTGCATATTTGCGGTACCTGCGAGGCATTTGAAATTGTTCGAAACTTCGCCAAGATACAGCGTCGAAGTTCAGTATCTTATTCGTTCAAAAAATGGTTTCCATTGAAGTGTAATACTGGGAGAATCAATGGCTTACAATTAAACGACGTTTTATTTGTAAGCAGTTTATTTTGTATTCCTATACCATGAAACAAACATTGAGTGCATTCCATGGAGACAACTGTTATCTCTGCATTGTCATCCATGATGAATTGTTTTTTGCGATACCTTCCAAAGCTCAAAAGTTTCATTTTACTCTGTTCAAAAGATGTTACAAAATGCCTAGAAGTTTATGTCCTTGTATGTTTGCTTGCAGGATGATTAAGAGTTACATCATAGTCCAACAGTTACATTAACACGAGGTCGAATGAATATCACGTTCAACATTTTATTAACACTCGGTAACCACATATCGCACATATAACTTTACTTCTTTTTATCATATTTGAATATAAGATAATAAATACTTAATAATTCCTGGATTAGCTAGGGTTACTTCAGATTTTAATAAATCTCACATGGAGATAAATCTTGAAAATGTCTTGCATCCATATAATTTGTTCTGATAAAATTTTAATTATATCACTTAAGCTTTTATAAATTAATGATATATTAATAACTATCATGCATCATTTCAAGGTATGTTATTACTTCTTGAATTATCACAGGCTTCCAAAGTGCAAACAAGCCATAACAATTAAAAGAATAGATACATATTTTAGGCATTTACGGCTATTATTTATTTTCAGCATACATGTCTCTGAATTTGTCCCAGATGAGAAAAAGAAATAGATTGATTGATTCACAAGCATGCATTTCAGAATGTTAAGATACTTATGTGATATTTTAAAGAGCAGAAATAATAATTAAAAATACAACAATAACATTTATACTGTCAATGTCATGTATCATGAATTTGCTTTTTCAATTTAAATTTATTCTGGACTTTCAATTGAAATCAGTAAACAAATAAGACAGTAGAACTTCAAAATTAACGAAACAACGTTCACTCTTTTTCACATACCTCCGATAAATGAACTTTATTAACGTTGTTATCCCAGGCTTCGAAGTACGGAATCAGGTCCTCTCTGCAGGTAATTCGAGTATCTTCTTGTATATTATTAGCATTCACTTCTGATTTAATTTCAATAACGTTATCTACTGTATCCTTATTCTTTTCCATGATATTCGTCTGTTTTTCCGTGCACCAGATATATGAAAGTTAACCTCTAAAGAAACGTCAGCGTTCGGACGAACCGCCAAAAATGAAGGCGCGCGCATCGATAGGTCGTATCGAAGCAGCATGGGTGCTTTCTTCTCAGAACTGAACACAGTTTCTTGAATGGCAACGGGTACGACGACAAAATCTATCAATTCGCTATTTAAATAGTTCCCTGTACGTGCGATTAAACGATAGACCAAAGGTTAAGAGGTGTAATCGAATCTTAATCGATAAACAAAATCTAATTATCAACTTCTGTATTGTATATCCAAGGGTTTCTTAGTTTCTTCTGACTACCTGCGTGCATGCGTACGTGTATGTCCCTCGGTGGAAATACTTGATGACGCCGTGCTAGTACCGATATTCGTATGTCGCAAAATATAACATAACCTCTAAGTAAAATGCTCGAGTTCTTATCAGCATCGTTTAAGGTTCCGTTCTTACGTAAAATTTGAATTTTCACGTTTTCGTGTCGATTCGCAAACGCTCCATTGAGTACAGCGCAACATGAAAGTTATTGTGAAGAAACTTAAAGGGAAAGAATGTGTTGTTGACGTGAGTACAAGGCATCTCATTCTCTTTTTTCTTCGTTTCAATTAAATAAGAGAACGTACAACGAATTCATTTCGTTACTATGTCGTTAACAACGTTTTTTTAGAAGTGTTGTTCGTGTATAGTTTTCCAGAGATTGACACTTTTTCGTAAATTTTCTATTTTTATTTTTGACATTAAATTTGACATGTTTCGTGATATCTCGAATCGTTATAGAATAGTTATTTCACTTTTTCGATAGATTACGCCTTCGGATACAGTTCTACAGTTAAAGCACAAAGTTAGCGACCTATTGGGCATAAACGTTCCTCAGCAGAAACTTCTGCTCGCAGGGAAAACATTAGCTGGTATGGATTAATGGACCAATTTTAGTTTAAACAAGAAAGTAATACATGTTTCAGGTTTGTGCCAATGTTAACCATGTGTTTCAGATGAAAACCCTTTAAGCTTTTATCCAGGAATCAAAGATGGGATCAAGTTAAATCTTTTGGTCGTTAAGAAAGCTGAGGAAGGGTCTACAGAGGGAAAGGCAACACATCGTAAATCAGGCACGGATATTCTACGAGACGAGATGTCTAGAGTTCTAAGGCATTATTACACAGAGCCTGAGATAGAGTTGATAGTTAATGAATTGATCAAAGATCTGAAATATAAAGTGAATAGCCTTAGTTTCGATGACTTAGAACGATTAGCAACAGCATTACTTCAAGACCAAGAAAATTTAGCTTAAGGATACTTCGATTTTCTAATTCTGCTTATTTGATTATTGTAACACACTTTTATTTAATTAAAACATTGCCTCATTACACCTTGTAACCAATAGCGCATTTGAAATAATTGTAAGGGGTATGAGCGTGAAAAGAAACTAAATTTATCAAAAGATCGGTTTTATTAAAACAGACAAGTACAATTATAATCGCACTTTAGAAAACAGAGTTTTAAGGATCAGCCATGTCTAGTTGTCGAAAGTATCTTGCAACTAGACATATAAATAAATTCAATGCCCCAATTTCGTGTACTTCCAACGTTTTCTAAAAGAAAAAGAAATACATAAACTTAACATGTGTAACTGAAGAAATCATTATGAAAAGTAAAGCAACCAATTTTTGTATCTTCCTTTAATATGAATTGTAATTCCATTTATTTTTCTTTTAAACTATTTCCTTGAATTGTTCTACAATTTATGTCGATGGCAAGTTTAATACATGAACATGCAATAAAATTGATTTGTTAAAAAATAAAAATTTATATATGTCTATCTTTTTTCTACTATTATAACAAATTGAATTTTCCATTTTATAAGATTGTGTATTACCGAATGGGCTCGAATGATCGAGCATGTCCTTGCCAAGGAACGTAAACAGGAACACACATTTGGAGTCAAAGGTACTTCTAGAACAACCAGTAGTGCATATATCCATTGGCCCAATTCATATTCTATTTTTTTTTGTATCTCGATATGTTCCACCAAATACTCTAATATTTGTTCTACCATTGGTTGATTTAAACAGAAAATGACATTTAATGTAGGAACAATCCTTGTCTTCCCTTCGAAATGACCCAAACAAAATTTGATCCAATCTTTTTGTTCATCTATACTTGGCTGCAAAAATTAAACAACAGTAAAACAATAGTGTGTCAACCAGAAAATTAAAGAATATTTTAGTATTTACCAGATCTAATTGCGGTGGTCTCCATTCACGCTTTGACATCTGAATTTCATTCTTCAATTGGCTTATGTACAGTCTGACATTGGAAAAATCTGACATTTGGCAATGCTGCCAATCAAGTGTACAGCCAAGCCATGATGGTGCCTCCATGCATCCTGATAACTTGGTGTTTCCATCATTATTATATAGAGTGTTCCTAAAATTTTTGGCCAAATCTTACCAGTGAAGTACATAAAATGTACGTCTACAAATGCTTTCCATTTAAATTCTGAATTCCTTTCAAGTTTCATGTAGAATTATATACTTATTTCTGGTTGTGACTTGTAGAGAAAGCATTTGAGGACCTAAATACTTTAATTACAATTTGTTAATACAATTTATACAATTGATAGAATGAGCTGGTAAAGTTTGGCCTAACATTCGAGGAAAACCCTGAATGTAATGCATGCCCCTTAATTCATAACTGATGCGAGCTAAAAATTTAAAATAACATTTGCAAACTTACAGGTTCAATATCAATTGTTGGTGTTTTGAAACACTTCTGATCGACGTCAGCTACTACAATATCTGCGCATTGCTGCGCTTCTACTCTATAACAGAATGACATTGAATTACTCGCCGGATCGCAACAAGCTTCGAGATATTTACTTACATTACTCTTTTCAAGTATTCTTCTCCAGAAGTTGGTGGCAAAGAGAGGTTAATATCGTCATCGATTTCTCCAACTACGAAAGCAGGCTCTCTCAAACAGTTAGTCATTTCGTTTATTGTGCGCTGGTATTATGTTGATATAGTTAATAACTCATCTTCATTACTTTCACATTATTAATAAGTTATGTGTGGTTGATTATGTCCTCTAGTTCAGTCGTGTCAGTACAGCATTTGTATTTATTTATTCTTAGGCTTGTGTAGTATAGTTGAGTGGGTGGCAGCACTTTCTGTCCTCACCACTAGAGGGGGACCATACCGCGCGTTTCTCACAAGTTCTCACTCTCCCTTGATATTGGTCAATTATTAGTGCACAAATCAATAATTAGATGCTGAATTATGGTAATTATGACGTAAAATTACATTTATATACGGAGAAAAGTAGAGAATTTATGTTTTAAATAATTTCATGTCTGCGCGACATTTAGCAAAGTGAGGCGGAAACTACTCCACGACAAAACTTGAGCGGTTAGCCGAGAGATGGCGTCAAATTTGGCGGTATTATTATTGATTTAAAAAATGTAATATCAGTCAATTATTGGTTTATTAACAATTAAATGTTGAACTATAATAACTATGATGTAAAATTACATTTATATAGAGAAAAAAGTAGAGACTATGTTTTAAATAATTTCATGTCGGTCGCGACATCTACCGAAGTGAGGTGGCAACTATTTCACGACAAACTTGGATGGTTCGCTGAGAGATGGCGCCAAATTTGGCGGTATTATTATTCATTTAAAAAATTTAATATCATTAGTGCAAAAATCAACAATCAGAAGTAGAATTGTGATAATTACGATGTAAAATTATATGAATATGTAGGAAAAAAGAAAAAAAAAATGTTAATATATGTGAAAAATTAGTTCCATTAACTTGACTATATGCTCTTATATGTATATGGAAATATATGATTGATATGAATTCAATGAATAATAAAGGATAATTATTAAAAATTATGATGCTGCTCATTCTCCTGGGGTTTATCTTTAAATTGCTATAATTTGCCTTCGTTCTTCGTTCTTTATTTACCCTTGTATTTTCATTTGCTTGCTTTGATTCTTACCCTTTATAGAATTTATTTTAAAATTCATTTAGCATTAGTCTGAGAGTGATCTCGATGAAGTTTGAAAACGTTTATTGTTTACGTGAACATTATTTATCGTGGCAACTGAATTACATTTATGGAACACCCACGGAAGATAATTTTGTTTAAGTTCTGTGCAAAATTAATAATCGATCGGGTTCATGTCTTATAAAATGCTCATTTTGTTAGCTGACTACAGAAAGTGCAAAATTTTGTTCGTCTTGGTACAAGAATACGCTTCATTTGGGAGCAGTTCCGCGGTTGGCCTAGTTTCCAACCCTTTGTACTGATATCACGTTCGAGTTTCACGAGCAACGCGAAAATAAGCCGTTGTCTCGCACACAAAAAGCATTGTTAAAGCCCCAACAACAATCCACTCCATGGGTTAGGCGCTTGGAAAATTTGATTCCTCTTTCTCGATCGACAGACAGTGTTTCATCATTATTTGGTTGTAATCAAACATTCAAGAAAAGGCACTAATTCATTTTAAATGTTTCTAGTCTTAAGTTCAAGTTGTCCTTAGTATATGAAAATATTATAATTACACATGAATGATCAACATTGAATTAAACTTATTAATTTGTCAAAAAGGTTACCATAACACAAGAGACAGCCAGCTCAGTCGGAATCCAGATCGATAGAACACTCGTAGAAAAACTTTTCCCATTGTTTCTGTGCTAAGTTTACTTTTCAAACGATGTTTGCATATTATACATTTTCATTTTTCACAGATCCCCAGGAAAATATACTTTCTCCTTCCGAGGATCTCGTCGACAAGCAAGGGAGAAACCGAAGGCCGGAAGGACAGCTTTTTCTCGTTATGCAACTTTTAATTACAATTGGTTCGATTTCCTTTTTAACGGAGTTTCCATCCGAGCTTCGTTAGACGCGACCGTGGAGCTGACACTCGTAACGTCGACTTCTTTTCCACCCCACGGCCTTTTCACGGCTCTGAATGTTCCTCCTGACGTCCTTAATTAACGACGGAAATACGCTGTTAGTTCTTCGAGTGGCGAGCAATACGCTGAGCCTCTCTGCCTTGTCGTTTGTATATTAGTTTTCTCTTCCGCCAGCCTTTTAACGTCCCTGCTTCTTACCCATTGAACGAACCTATCAGAAACAACTTTATTTCTGTTGGTTTTAGGGCTCAATCAAGCCTCAAAATCTACCAAATACCGTTTTTCACATTTATATGTACTCAAATAAAAATAAATAACAAAATTATATTGCTATTCAGAATGAATCTATTTTCAATTCTTCATTAATTATTCATATAAACATTGATATTTATAATGCATTGCTTACAGAAACATTAATATGCGAAAAGATAGATTTATCAAACATATCCATCCAAAGTAAAATTTTGTCTGTTGGGTTTCAAACGTGATATATAAAGAGAGATTTATTGCAATAGAGATGGAAGAATAAAACTTAACAGAGTAGTAAATAAGAAATTTGTAGTTTCTACGTACCTGAGAATCTGTCTTTCTGATAATATACATAAAATTATTATTAAAACTAAACGCATTCGCTGATTGGAAGAGGATGCCAGACACCACGGCACGCTTAATTAAAATACGTCAGTTACTATCTTTATTCAATAAATATAATATTACATCGTAACATAAGGAATATCCTGAAGTGTGTGGCGTGTGTTGTGTGTATTAATGTGTAATTGTACTTGGCCGCTGGACCGGTTGCAAAAACAGTTGCGAACCGTTCCAGCGAGTTTGCAAATAGATCTCTATATACGCGAACACACACGTACAGCCGTGTGTATGTACTCGTGTATACATATACCATCTTTAATATAGATCTTTCTTCTCTAGAGACAGCACAAACACATAGTATGGTACAATATCGTTACAAGGACAGTCATAGATTTCCGGCGATCGTTTCAGCGTTCTCGGTTGCTTCTTTTGTGAATCTTACCAACCTCGCGTGATCAAGAACCGTACATTTCAAGATGGTACCGGTATCTCATATTTTTGGCCACTCGAAGGGACAGGTCATCTCTTTGTTAACCGAATAAAACGGTTTACAATCTCCATCGAGACTTTTTTTAGTTGACAATTATTTCGTGCCTTAAGTGGATAAAAAGGTCAAGATTTAAATTGAATGAACGAAGGAATTTTTTTCGATGAAAACTTGCTATTTTATTAAGGAAAAACGATTCATTTGAAAGTCAACAAATGACGACTTTCAGTAAAACCACTGTTATTTTGGTAAAAATCATAATTTCGAAAAGTTCTACGTCTGTTTAGCAGATGTGATCAGAGAGAAAGCGATTAAATCAATTTGCGAAACTAAACCAATATCTACAATTTCATTTTAGGATTATTCTGCTTTTTGAGTATAACAGAATGATTATTCTATTAGCAGTTGACTTGGTAGCAAAATAAAAAGCAAAACTTGAAAATGAAACTAAAAGAAGATTCAACGCTATGCTTTCAGTGAAACTGAAGCAACTGGGTTGCTTGCAACGTGTTGTAGTGTGCTTTCGTCTCGGATGGCTCGCAGTGTAATCTCCGAATACTTATCAGGAACGTTCACTCACATCGTTAAATTCACCGAGTCTCTAGAACGAAAAACGCGGAGCTTAATAAGCGGAGCTTAATTGCAAATGCACCGAGCCGTGGTTCTTTTTCCCCCGCCGTCATCGAGATCTCCTTACGAAAGGGAACGGAAACTCCACGCAGGGAAATAGTTGACGACAACGTTCTTCCGGCGTAGCGCTTTCAGCGCTTGGAAATACCGGTCAAGTTGAAACTCGAGTACGCTTCAAAAGTACGATAGATTGCGAACGATGGAAATGTGTCTATACTTTCATTTGACTGATCGTTTCTACCGGTGCTCTTTCATGTAGCTACTTCTAACCGATAAAACTACAGAGAAAAAATTACAAACCGATAAGACGTCAGAGAAATATAAAACATTAATAACGAAAACCCCGAAGCGGATACAACAATGTAAAAAATTTGAAAACAGTAGAAAGTAGAGGTAGCGAAATTTACGAAGCAATTGACGTCAATCTAATAAATAATTTGGTCAAAGAGACGATGAAACTTTAGCAGTAAGAGCAGTTTCAGTTTCTAATAGAAACTTTCTATAGGCGGTTCAATAAAGTATCGAACGTATGTATTTCCTGAGGAAAATGTAAATATACAATCAAAATTTATATATATATGTGTATATAAGTGTATATCATATATATAATAATATATAATATATATGTATAATAATATTATATTACAGTGATAAATAATAATAATTGAATAATGTTATTATACATATACATACAAATATATAGACATAATATATAAATATATACTATAAATATTATGTCCTTTCATCACATTGTTTTATCTAACTTGAGTTGTCCATCATTAATCCATACACAATTGTACACATATGTGCACGTACACGTATATGCGTAAGCATATAACGTTATCGCGAACGTAATCATCTATTCTTTCATATATTTGTAATGAATATGAATACTTTTGTGATTCACTGCACGTTTTTCCTACTAGTAAACAATAAATACAATGTTTTCGCAGCAGATAGAATAAAGTTAAAAGATCGAACCTATAGTAAGGTATCGCGTAAAATCTTAGCAGAAAAAGAAGCAAACAGAAATACAAACAGTCGCGAACGTATAACATCCTGTCCGCTTCGGTGGCCAAAAAATATATGTACCTCGGGGATGACGAACGTTTACCCAAGGACCTCACTGGTCCTGATAACGAGACGCTCAGCTCGCATGGAAACCGTACGACGTTTCCTCCCTCTTTCCCGTCACTAATTAATCTAATATTTACACGAGTCTGTCGTACAGCAGACGCCTGATCGAATTTGTTCGCCTCTTCCGCCGGATACGCTTAGCAAGAGTAAAAAATAGGTACTTTCCAGCCGGCTGGAGTCAGCCTTGGTTCAACTGAATCGTGTCCCCGTTAGAATTGGAAGATCGTTGAAAATCACCAGCCTCCCGGTAATTTCCTTCCCCCGCATTGCTGGAGGAAGAGAGAGTCTTTAGTAAAATGTTTCACATATGAAAATAGGTGTATACCATTTACATTATATCTCCCTATCACAA